GTGTGATTTCCCTCGTTTGAAGGCCAAAATATTGTGCATTAGTTTTATCCCGTTGTTTGCTTGGTGAAATCTCTGCTAGCGGTTATCATCGATTTTTTTCGACAGCGGCCGCTATCAAAGATCGCCAGGCCAAATAGCAAAAATGGTCCAGCTAGTCGCACTCGAACCACGGCTCTGCCGCTTGAAGCGCTTTATCTTATCCATTTGACTGATAATGCACGGCAGAAAACGTTCAACCTTTGGAAACGCGAACGTCCATTAAGTGATCTGCTGCAAATCAATCGCTTTCCTGGCAGTGTGCTTAGGCGCGATGAGATCAACTCAAACTCTAGTTTTTAAAAAACGCGTTTATAAAACGTTATAAAATACGTATTTTATATATAGACTTGTTTTATTTTATAATTATTTTATAATAACGTAAAATAAAAATGTATTTTACAAGTGGAAGAGACCTCCAAATAAAATCCGCTATAACCCCTGTGTAACAGGGGTGAAATGGGGTGTGCTGCCTTAATCTATACTAATTTTGATATACGAAAATCACCCCCACGGAAGTATCCCAAAAGGCACATATTATGACATAAATAGGTGAGAAATTTTGGACAAAGATTTTGTCTCATTTTGTCTCACTTTGTCTCACTACCTCTGTTATTGGGTGAGACAAAAAAATGTCTAAATGAGACAAAAAGACAAAAATTTTTTGTCCAATTTTATACACGTGTATAATTTTACCTGAAATTGAGACAAAATTTTGTCTCACTTGGACAAAAATGTCTCACTTCCCCACCTCTGTTATGAGACAAAAATGAGACAAAAATTAGAACATTTTGTCTCAGGGTTTGTCAATATATGGCACCATAATATACCCCCATTTGTCAATACCCCTTGGTTCGCTACGCTCACAGGGTCTCGGTGAACTATGATATAATGATCTTAGGTGTAGGGGAGTAGGCTAGTGGTAAACTATTCGGCTCCAAACCGAATGTCATGAGTTCGATTCTTATCTCCCCTGCCACTTTTTTTATGTGTTGACGTGTGGGGGTGTGGGGGAGTATAATATAAGTATAGTATTTTAATGGAGAGGACTTAATGGATAGAACTAAACTTATCAAAGCCAATATCAACATACGGTCTATTACCATGACTAATGGTGCTGCACTTGTGGGGGTGTCGTACCAGTGGCGAGACAGACACAGGGTCGCACAGATTGCTGAAGAGGTGTTGGTGTGCAATTGCAATAAAATAAGCGAGATCAGGGCTGAGGTGTATAGACAGGTGCAGGAGGCTCGTGCTATTTTAGAGAGTAGAGGAGAATAGTATGGAGTCAGGACTTATTCAGGTGAATTCAAGTATGGTGAAGCCAATTGGCAAAGTGTTGAGTGGAGTGCCAGAGGAGGTGGTGCGAGACTTCGTTACTGAGTTGGTGGAGTATGGACTTATAGACAAAGAGATGAACATCGTGTGTACTAAGTCTAGTGGCGAGCACAAAACTATGCGTGATGACCTAGTGAAGCGTATCGTGATGTTTTTATACGAGTTTCGTAGGCACCCTAAGAATCCTGATGACTTGTATTACAAGAGGTGGGATGATGATGTGTTTAGGACATTTGATAAAGACTCGACTACTATTCTATATATTGTGAATGATATATATGACAAACTATTCCATAGGACTCCATCTGCAGAGGTGAGCTCTACTATTAAGAATGTGATTAACAACATACACGATGTGGCGAGACTCGACTCTGGGGTTATTAAACTCGGATCTAATATATATTGGATTATGCGTGATGCACGAATTAGCACTAGTATTCCAGATGGGCTAGAGTGCTATTATGAATTATTTAATTCGCCAGTCGGTGGGCAATTCCCAACCATTGAACTTAACAATGCAGAAGCACTTGAGGTGTTATATCAAGAGAAGTTATTTTATCAGGACAACTTATCTGAGCACGTTAATAATAATGACTCGTTCGAGGAGTTTTATAAGACTTTGCCTATGGACTTTGACTTTATCAAGGTGTGGGCTGATAAAGAGACACCTGGGTTTGTAGACAGATATTGGGATATGCTGCTAGCCATTGTGCCTAACTTCTTGTATAAGAAGCCACCAGTTGCATATTTCTTATTAGGCAACGCTCGTGGTGGTAAGTCATCATACACCAAGATGCTACATCTTATCTTCGGCTCACATAATACATCAACTGTTCGTTTGAACGAGCTCGGCGACCCACATCTTAACCTTAGATTATCTTCTACGATATTGAATGCTCCAGATGAGGAGATGGAGGAGAAGTTGACAGCCAAAGATATGGCTAACTTCAAATCTCTAGCAGCACATGAACAATTAGAGCTTCCAGTGCTATATAGCACTAAGCCACAGGTGTTGCAGCCTAACTTTATGATGTATCTACCATCGAATGCACTTCCACAGTTTAATGGCTCTGGTGCTGAAGCGTGTATGCGTAGGGCTAGAACTATTATCTTCTCAGCAGACCTTTCTAAGCTAGACCACGTGCCTAAAGACTTCATTGGTGAGACATTTACTAAAGACACCATTATCAAGCTACTTGGAACTGTATTAGCTCTAGCCAAGTATTTCAGTAAACACGAGTTTTGGTATTCTGTATCTATGCTTAGGTCTAATGACTTGGTATCTCAATCTGTTAACTCATCTAAGCTATACTTTGACCAATGGTCTAAATACTTTGATGGTGTCGATAAGCGTGCTACATTATGGAATGACTATAGATTCTGGTGTACCGAGAATGATTATAAGATTGAAGAAAAGCGTATTCTTATGATGCGTTTTATGAAATACTTTGATGAATCTAAGCGTGTTAATTACAAAGACATGAATGGTGCTAGGATAAAGGCATTCCGTATTCCAGAAGTTGGCAAGAAGGTGTTAACTCCAGAGTTTATGTTTGATGGGTATAGGGAAGATACCAAATATCTACACGAGCATGAGCGTAGTATGGTGCATCAGTTGGAAGCATATCATGAGTATGAATCAGAGCACGGGTTGGGTGGATTAAGCTCGCCTAAAGCATTAAAGTTAATGGGAGAGGCAGGTGAATAATGGATTTAGCAGAACAGTTAATTCAGCAACAGCAGCTCGAATCTAGGGGTGAATCAGACTATGGAATGGAAGTGTTTACGGATGAGCTCGGCATTAGCCGACTTGTCCGTGACCTAGATAATCCTAAAGAGGTGATTAACGATCCAATGTATTGGGCTCTAAGGATTATTATGATTAACAGACAGCGAGTCGCCCAGAAGAAACAAGGGCTTATTCATAAACGTGGCAATCTATTATATATAGGCAACGATATATTACCTCGAAAAGGTGAGACTGTAGATAGATTAGCTAAGCCTAGGTACTCAATTCCACAGCGTGTTAAGGCTCAAGTATGGGATGAAGTATTTGACCGTGTTCCAACTTTGTCTTATGATAAACTTGTGATTAGTAGAAATCTAGCATTCGACAGAGTAGCTGGAGAATTAGTACATGATGAAAAAGGTTTTCAATCTATTGGTAGAGGAGGAATAAATGGTTAAGGAATCTGACTTCAAAAAGTCGTTTTGTAGTAAATTAAAAAAGATGAAATGCACTGTATTACAGTATCAACAGAGTGCAACAACGGTAGCTGGGTTTCCAGATACGGTCGTACTCCTTCCAGAGTCATTAACGGTGTTTTTAGAGTTCAAAAGGAGTAAGACTGCTAAGTATCGCCCAGGTCAGAAGGAGTGGGCTGAGAAACTTAAAGAGCGTGGGTTCTTCCATTGGTTCGTATATCCAGAGAATGCCGACCAAGTATTGGAAGAAATTAAGGAGATATTATGATAAAGGTGGTAACTTGTACTTGCGGCAGTGCAGAAGGTCTAGTTAGGCAAGCTTTACATAGGTATGAGTACAAGAAATGGGCTGTAATTCCACTAATTCAGGGCAAAGCCCAGTCATTATCAGCTTTAGAAGGCTTGATGAGAGAATATCCAGAGTCAGATGAGCTAAAAGCTCTCTATGCTCACATAAATAACTCTAGTAAATGGGCAGTAATCATTGGATATAAGAATGATAGCGTAGAATGGTCAGATATATCCCGTGGTGACATAGCATCTGATGTCAGAGCCGAAGTAATTGTGGAAAAATTCGGCGAATAAAAGTTCCCCCTACGGGGGAATTTTTAATATTTGCACCAATCTATGATTTGTTATACAATAGCATTATATTAAGGAGCAATTTTATAATGCAACCACAGAATGGACAACTCTCACCAGGATTTATCAAGGTCGAGGATGCTATCAATCTTATTAAACAAGACACTCGTGACAATGCCACTTTGGATTTAGATTGGATGACTAAAAACATCCACTATATCAATGAGAACAAGAACTTCCGTATCCCATTGATGAAATCTGATGCTAACAAGATCGCACATCACGATGGATCAACCTATGTATACATCAAGGATTCTTACGAAAAAGAGATGCTACGTCATGCTATTCGTACAGCATTCCGTGAACGTACTGGTCGTGATATTAACCCAGAAGGTACTACACATAATAAGACTACTGTATATGACCCAGAGCACAATACCCTTTCACAAGGCGGTGCTATTCAAACTAACCCTAACCCAACAACTAAGTTAGGTGACAACCTAGGTAACGGAGAAGCTTAGTATGCGACCAGAATCATACGGCTCGATTGATAAACTTCTAGATACAGTTGACAGTATCAAGAAGGAATTAGACCAAATCAAGAATTGTGCTAGTATGAGTGAAATTTCTCAGCTTGAGGAACATATTAGGCACGAATGCCAGGTGGTAGAAGCTATGCCTGGATATATGGGTCAGGAAATTTTTGCTATCATCTCTGCTCGCAGAAATGAACTTAGGAAAGATAAGTTGAACAGTATTTTTAACCTTGGTGTTAAACCAGTTGTTCAAGAAGAGCCAAAACCTGAACCAAAGACTAAAACTAAGAAGGGCAAGAAATAATGGATGTGATTGAGGGCGAAGTTTGTCATAACCCCAATCCAACCATTCGTGAGCTAAACGAAAAAGCCATCAAGACTCTTTATGACCTACTTGATGGCTTGGTCGATAAGACTGACCCTGCTATGGTTACTGCAGTTACTGATGCTATTGCTAAACTCAATACATCCCTAAGGAATTCAGATATTATTCCACCAGAAGAAACTGCAGCAGAAAGACAAGAACGAGAAACTAGAGAAGCGTTAGCTAATGCTATGAGAGGGTAATTATGACAATAAAGGTGCTAGAATTATTTGGAGGTATTGGTGCTTGTAGCAAGGCACTAGAACGTAACGGCATTGATGTTGATATAGTCGATTATATTGAGATAGACAAATATGCTGTGAAGAGTTTTAATGCTATTCATGGTACGAATTTTGAACCACAAGATATTACTAAGTGGGATAAAGATATTGATGTGGATTTAATAATGCACGGCTCTCCGTGCCAGGATTTTTCTGCAGCTGGTTTTAATAAAGGTGGTGACAAAGATAGTGGAACTAGGTCAAGCTTGATGTACGAAACACTTAGGATTGTAGAAAAGCTAAAGCCTAAGTATGTTATTTGGGAAAACGTTAAGAACCTATTGTCTAAGAAGCATATTCATAACTTCGAGGCATACCAAGATGTTATGGATGAACTTGGATATGTTAACCATTTCCAAGTCCTAAACGCTAGGAATTATGGTATTCCGCAGAATAGAGAACGTGTATTTACTGTAAGCATTAGGAAAGATCTAGATACTGACTATAATTTCCCAGAGACTATACCATTAGATAAGACTATTAGGGATTTATTAGAGCCAGTCGTGGACGAAAAGTTCTTTCTAAAAGTTGAAAATGTTGAACGCATGAAAAGCACTGGCTATCACAGTAGCACTTATGAATACAGAGTCCAAGGGGACATCTGCAGAACATTGTGTGCTCGTGACTATAAAGATCCAAAATGTATTGAATTACCTGGTGCATACGGTAGGAGTTTTGGAAGTAGAGGCAAAATTCAAGATGCCGATGGTGTTAGCTGTACATTATTAGCTGATATGGGTACTGGTGGTGGAAACGTGCCACTGGTAATACCAGAAACTAATGTTAGAAAACTCACTCCACTAGAGTGTTGGAGACTTATGGGGTTTGATGATATTGATTATTGTAAGGCTCAAAGAGTTAATAGTAATAGCCAATTGTATAAACAAGCAGGAAATTCTATCGTAGTTAATGTCCTTCAAGCCATATTAAAAAACTTACTGGAGAAATAAAATGGGAAAACAGCTTGAATCTGACTTTCAGCTAAATTTTGAGCACTTAACTCCAGACCAGTTGAAGCGTGCTCTCACTGGAGATTTGGAAGGGTTTAGGTATTTCTTTGAAAACTGTATGCAATTGCAGGATAAAGAGACTAGGCAACTAATTTACCCAAAGCTAAACAGAGGACAGGAGTTAATCGCCGATACAATTTTGAAACACGTAGCAAAGGATACTCGTGCTGAAACACACAAGGAAATCGTTATTTGTGGTCCACGTCAGTTTGGTAAGTCTACTTTGATTACGGCAATATCAAACTATATGGCTGCGTATGTTTCTGGACTAGAGCGTAGTAACATAGTACAAACTTTGCACGTTGGAGGAGCTGTAGATAAATTCTATCGTCAGAAGATGGCTCCACTCGTAACTGGTGTTCACCCAGATATTTTTCCAACTATTGAGAGAAATACACTAGGTCCGTCAACCCAGTTATTTTATAAAGACGTTAAAGGTATACCTAGGGGTAGTTATTATGAAATTATCTCTGCTGGTTCAAACTCTGTTCGTTCTGGTACTGTAACGGTTTGGTTATGTGACGAGCCTTCAGAATATCGTAATCCACAGATGACAGAAGATGCTATCTCTGGTGCTATCCCAGACCATGGCTTTTCATTCACCGCATATATTGGTACGTTCTCTGACCGTGTGTCGTCTTACTTTATTGATAAGATTCAAACAGCTCTAGACAACCCAGACGAAATGGAACTAATCTTCGTTCCTTGGTTCTTGGTGTATGGCGGCGAAGAAGATGTATTAGACTTTACCGAAGATCAGTACAATGATTATGACAAGAACGTAATTCTACCAGAACTTATTAAACATGGATTCTCAGGACGAGAAGCACTAGGCAAGGTTGCTTGGTATCATAGACGTGCTCTTCGTACATCACATATGAGACATGAATTCCCAACATCAGTAGCTGATATTATGTCACTGACTGCTGATAGGTGCTTCTTCTCTCAAGAATGTCGTGATATGCAAGAAGATAATATCTTTGAAGGCACACCAATGCGTATTGTGACTGACCAGTTTACTAAAAAGCCAGAGATGCAGAAAACTGATTTCTCGTCATTCAAAGTATTTGTTCCACCAAAAGAAAGACACAAGTATAGGTTGGTAGTTGATGCTATTACATCAGTGTCTGGTGAATCGGATTTCTTCTCTATGATGGTCTTTGATGAATCAAACAATGAGCAGTGTGCAACATTTTATGATAATGGCTTAGCACTTGAAGATTATGCAGATTATGCAGTGCAGATTGCTAAGATTTATAATCGTGCTATGATTGTGCCCGAACAGAATATGGCTGAAGGTTTTATCGCCTTAGTATGGGAAGGACAACGATACTATAACTTTTACTTTGTAGATAACTCTGCGAGAGCAAAGAAAACTCCAGGCATTAGAACTACCGCTAGCTCTAGAACTGCTATGCTTGATACACTTACATTGTTGCTAGAAAGCGGTCGTATTATCATCCATGATAGAGCCACTATAGATGAAATGTCTACGTTTGAGCGTAAGGTCAAAAAGCGTAATGATGGGACTGAAACGGTGCGTATTGAAGCTAGGGCAGGTAAGCATGATGACAGGGTATCAAACCTTTGGATTTATTCTGGAAGCTTGGATAGAAGTCAGATTGCTGGAAAGAAAAGCTTTGGGTGGACTGTAATCTAATGTTTTATGATAACTAACAAAATTGTGCCATAATAAAACTATGAATGAGTACTCAGGAATAAACTTCGATAATGAATATAGCTACGTACTTCAATGGCTATATGAATCAGAGGTGGCTCGCAGAGCATACTTGGATAAGATTCGCCGTGTCCAACTTGCTATGCAAGGCATCCCATTTGAGAATTTATATGAAAAAGAAATAACCTCAGTTATCAATGAAATTGAGGACGGCGACCCACGCAAAGAACAACTTATGAAGAAGTGCTTACCAATTCCAACTGGAACTTCGTTTGCACTCGAAAAGGCTGTAAAAAACCGTGCAAATCAAATGTCATCTGGTGTTGATTCATACGAGTATATCGTAAATGATCCATACATGATTATTGATGACGAGACGGAAGATTTACTTGCTGCTAAATGTGAACAAGATTACATTGAGAATAAGTTGAATGTTCTTGCAACAACAGTATCAACAGATTTGACTAAGTACGGTATGTTCGCTGCCATCGTTGAATACGACCCAATCAATGATAAAAACAAAGTGAAGCGTATTCATCCAAAGAATACGATTTGGGATACTAAGTATTCTACAACTGGACAAGAAAGATTCCGTGGATACAACATGATGATTTCTTGGGCTAAACTCAAGAAGATGTTAACAGACGATCCAAATGAGGAAATCAATTTAGATATTAAAGCTCCAGATCGTGCAATCACATCTGGCGATGGTAAGGATGCTGTAGTAGATAAAAACGCTAAGTATGCTAATAAAAAGATTCGCTCATTAAATGGCTTAGACATTTATGTAAAAGACATTAACAAATTAGCTGAATCATCACAACTACAAGGCTGGACTTCTACATTCCCAGAATATTCACATGACCTTAACTCTTGTTATAACCTTGGATGGTATCACTCATTTGCTACTGATCCAACAAAGAAAACAAAGACTGGCTATAACGGTGATGATGTAGAACTTACAGTCATGTATGATTTAGACAGAAAGATTGAGTACAAGATTATTAACAGACGTTATGTAATCTCTGCTAACTCAAAGGCATTCTGCCGTAAGATTGATTTTAAGGTTACTAACCCAATTACTGGCGAAGAGAAACATCGCATTGACGACTTTCATCTAGACTGTCCACTCAAGTTCCAAAGAGAGGAACAGGACAATTCAGACTTGATGCCTTATCCAACTTCAATGCTCTTTAACTTATTACCATTACACGATAGACTCTGTTCATGGAGAGCAAAGCGTGAACACGTAGCAAAGTTACTTGCAACCCTACGTATTGAAACTAACGGTGCAGATGCAGCATCACTCAAGGGCTTACTCAATATCATGGGTATTGTACTTGATGATATTCAGGGCGACATTAACTCAATCAACTTTGCATACGACTGGACAGCTATTGATTCAGAAATTGCTTATCTAGAGAATGAGATTAAGGCTGTATTATCTAGCTACGACCAATTCGATGCTATGCAGATGATGGGCGACCGTGCTTCTGCTGCTGAATCTGGTATGGCTGTAGGTGCAGTTGCACAAGGCTTAGCTTCACACCAGAACGCAATTATGCAAGTCTATGCAGATATTGCTCGCCAATGTATTGCTAACCGTGTAGCATATTCATCAAACAACGAATTCGCAGTATCTAATCGTGGTGAGTATGGTTCCCTAACAATTCAAGAAATGGCATTGACTGCTACTATCAATGTAAAGTCTAAGATGGCTACACAAGTATACGAGAAGATTGCTGCAGCTAACGCTTTACAGGCTATGGCAACACTCGCTGGAAGTGGCAAGCTCAATGAGAATGGTATTGCATTCTTGGTAGAGAAGTCTCTATTTGGTACAGCTCCACGTAAGATGATTGCATCATTTATCAATCCACCTGCACCAAATCCAGAAGCAGTACAAGCAGCTCAACTTAATGGTCAAAACATGGCTAACCAGTTAGCACAGAATCAACAGATGTACAACGAGAATCCAACTCAGTACGAAATGGATAACGTAATGGACCAAGCAAGTCCAGAAGAAATGGACCAGATTATTTCACAATTAGGTGGTGCTGGTCAAGACCAAGCTATTGAACCTGATATGCAAGATGTTCCTACTCCAGAAGGTGAAGATATGTTCCAACAAGAAGGTGCATATACACCAGACGTAGAAGGAATGACACCAGAAATGGGTTCGATGATGGTCAACCCAAACTCAATGATTTAGGTGTGGTATAATTAGTCCATAGTATAAAGGAGGCTTACTATGGACTATACTAAGATAATCATAGATAACGTTAATGAGAATGAGCTTCTTCACAAGGTAACTCAGGACATTACAGCTAAGTTTACGAATATCAGCAAACTAACAGCACAAGGCGAGCACGTGGCTGCGGCTGAGCTATTAGGTACAGTTGATAGAGAAATAGAGCTGTTAAACGCTATTGACACAAAAATCAACGGTAACAAGAAATCTGTCACTATTGCCTAGTGGCAGATTTTGATTTATACTAAATATACATTAACTTAATAGAAAGGACTTCATGGAAAATGCTCCAGAAGCTGCCGCACAGACGACAGAAGCAACCCTTAATACTAACTCTAACCCAGTAGAAGCTGCTCCAGCAGTTGAACAGCCTGCTGCAGACTTGCATGGTTTTACTAATGACCAATTAGCTGAAATGGCTAAGTTCATCGATGCAAATGGTGGTTACGATAAGGCTTTTAGTACATTCAAAAGTCGTATCTCAAACCCAGCACCAGTTGAACCAGCACAGCCAGTACAACAACCAGTGCAACAACCAGTTCAACAGCCACAACAAGTTGAACAGCCTGTATATCAAACACCACAAGGTTATGTAACTCCACAAGAGTTTATGGCTCAAACTTATTATAATCAATTAGCAAATGAAGAAGCTTATGCTCCTATTGCTGATAAGATTCGCTCTGGTGAAATGTTCCAAGAGATGGGCAAGTTCGGTATTCGTCCTATGGATACACTTGGAAATATCAATGACACACAAGTACGTGAATTCTTTGATTTATACGCAAAGACAATGCCAGCAACTCCAGCTTCATCACCAGATGCAGCAGCTGCTCCAACAGTTGATTACATCCCAACAGAGAATGGAATTACATCATTTGACCAAGCTGCTCGTATTATTGCACAATCAAATGAATTAAAAGCTCGTGGAATTGCAGCACACCCAGAGTTGAATGCAGCTGAAGAATTCATCAAGAACGCTCTTGGCGGAAAGAAGTAATAACACAATAATAAAAAATATCCACTATTATGTGGGTATTTTTTTATAGTTCAACTTATTTTATGTTTATAATAGGGGTAAGTCCTAGTTTGACTAGATAGACTAATGGAATAATAAACCCAACGGACCGCAAATTCGCTGAGTCACTGTTATGAAGATAGCCTACTACGATAACACTTTAACCATTGACGACTTGCACTCGCCAAGAGGAAAGGAAAGACGAAAGTTAATAATTAAAGTAAAGGAATTAAATAAATGTCTACTATTGTAGGTACTTATACTCAAACTCTTCCTGGTGCTGCTGTTGCTCCATCAACAAGCTCAGTATTTGATTTGAGCATTATGCGTCCTCTCTTAAAAGAGGTTATCGCTAATCGCCTATTTGAAGAACCAGCTCTTCAAACTGAACTTACTTCAGCAAAGTCATTCTTCACAGGCGAACAAATCGTAGAAGATGCAACTCTTCTCGCTAACCTTAAATACGGTCAAGAAATCCGTTTGAACATCGTAAAAGATCAAAATCCATTCAGTCTTTTCCAAAAAGATACAATCTCTTACGCTGCAGCTGATGCTTGCCACAACCAAATCGAACTCGATTGTACAGTTCCTTGCATCAATACACTTCCAGAATTCGACCACATGGTATTCCGTTTCGATACAGAATACGCATACGGTGTACGTGCTTGCGACAAGAACAAAGACTTCTGGGATATGGGCTTATTCACAAAGCAATATGCTAAATCTCGCCAAGCTATGGAATTCGGTCGTGAAGTTGACCTTTGGAACACTGTTGTTAAAGGTCTTATCGCATCACCAGCAACAACTGTTGACTACTTAACAGTTGCATCACACCCAACACACTACTGGGATAATCTTGGAACAGTAGCTGCTAACGGTGCACGTGAAGTACGTGAAGCTGAACAATATATCCGCAACGCTATTGCAGGTATCAACCCAACAGTATTCGTAACACGTGAATTCGCTGCTGAACTCATTGAAGCTAATACAAACCCATACTCAGTAAACTTAACTCTTCAAAAAGTTAATAGCTGGGAACAATGGTCAGTACCAGGCTTTGAAGTTTCTAGCCGTGTTAAAGAAATCCTTGGCATCCAAAGCGATGTTGTCGTTATGAAACGCTCACCATGGATGACTTACACAAACGAAGGTGCTGCAGTATCTCAATTCCCACTCTGGTCAGCAGATACAACAAAACAATATGTTGCTATCCTTGATCCACGTGTTGGTTACTCATTCGAGAAAGCTGGTTACCACCTAGACATCAACCCATACGACTGTGATAAACTCACACGTGGTATGATTGATACAGTCTACACAGGCTCAGGAATCACATTTCCTGTATACGGACTCATTCTTGAGTTCGATCAATATACTCACGCAGCTTAATAACAGCTAATAAAAGTACCCCCGTAACGAATAGTAGGGGGTATTTTTAATTATGGAAAAAGGCTGCCACTTGGACAGCCTACTGGGTGGGTCATTATTCTTCGTTTGGAATCTTTTTACCGTCATCGTACGAACGGAGTTCTTTGATAGTTTCGATAGTTCTGATTGCTCTTACAAGCTCTTGGAATCTTTCTGGTGTTCCTATATATACCATCTCTTTTTTCTGGTAGTTCCAGTCAGCACCGAACTTCCAAGCTAAACCATCTAACGCTTCTCCGTCACATCCTTTTTCAAATGATATTACATTGTAAGTCATTTTCATAACTC